TAGTAGAGATCTTATCAAGAGTATTTGGAGAGATAGATTTGTGGACTGGGCTGGTATTGGCTGCATTGGAGCATCTGGAGGGGTCCTTTTACTGTGGGATAGGCGAGCAGTAAAAGCCGTGGAGGTCGTTAGGGGTTCTTTACCTGTTTCCGTGGCCTTTGAAGTTCCTATTAAAGGTATGTGTTGGATTACGGGGGTGTATGGTCCTGCCTCTCCAAGAGGCATAAATGCCTTTTGGGAAGAGTGAGGGAACCTCTTTGGCTTATGTGGAGATATATGGTGTTTAGCTGGGGTTTAATGTGGTTAGATTCCCGTCTGAGAAGTCTAGCAGAGGTCGCCTTTTAAAATCTATGAAAGCTTTGAATTCTCTCATAGAGGATTGCAATCTGGTGGATCCACCATTAGTCAATGGTAGGTTCACGTGGACAGGCTGAGGGGTGAGTTGCAGACTTGATAGATTTCTTCTTTCTAAGGGTTGGATGGAAAGCTTCTCTAAAGTGAGCAGTTCTTGGGGCCCAGGTTGACTTCCGACCATTGGCCGGTTTGTTTGGATGTCGGTATTTTTAAATGGGGTCCTTGTCCCTTCAGATTTGAAAACATGTGGCTTGAGCACCCTTCTTTTAAGGTGTCAATGCCCTCTTGGTGGGAGGTTGTGGTTCCAGGTAGGTGGGAGGGTTATCGCTTTATGGGAAAATTACGCTCTCTGAGGAATTCTTTGAAGGCTCGGAATGTCTCGATTTTGGGGGATATTCGGGTGCGGAAGCTTGAGATCCTTGAACATTTAAAGACCTTAGATTGTCTGGAGGTGGAGGGCTTGTTATCGTTGGACTTGAGGGAGGAAAAGATGGCCATCAGAGGAGCCTTTGAAGATATCCTTCGTGGAGAGGATGTGAGTTGGAGACAGAAGGCCAAGGTTACTTGGGCCAAGGATGGGGATAATAACACAAGGTTGTTTCACACGGTGGCTAATGGGAGACGGAACAAAAATGTCATTACCCAGTTAATTAACGAGAATGGGAGAGTTTTGAAAGAGGAGAAGGAGATTGAATTGGAGGTGGTTTCGTTCTTCGCTAAGCTTTATGCCCCGCAGATTGGATCGAGGCCCTTCTTGGAGAGGTTGGATTGGAACCCTATCTCGAGACAAGACAGAGAAGGGCTGGAGAAGCCTTTTTCTTTGGAGAAGATTAAAAAAGTGGTCTTTGGTTTTGAAAGGAATAAATCTCCTGGTCCTGATGGTTTCTCCATGACTTTCTACCACGACAATTGGGATAGGATTAAGGAGGATTTACCATCATCCATATGGTCTGATGGCTATATGTAAAAAATATCCATTCATTACGAAGGTTCTCTAGGTTTTTCGGAAATTTTTTGAGAGGGGTATTATTGACAACTCCGTGAATGAAACATATGTTTGTTTAATCCCCAAAAAAGAAAATGTTACTAGGATTCAGCAGGCCTATCAGTCTTGTAACGAGCTTATACAAGATTATTGCGAAAACTTTAGTGGATAGACTTAGGCAAGTCCTCCCAGCACTATTTCTAGTACGCAAGGAGTAGGCAAATCTTGGATCAAGTGCTCATTGCCAATGAGGCAATTGAAGACTACAAAATAAAAATAAAAAAAGCAAGAGGGTGTTATTTTTAAGCTGGACTTTGAAAAAGCTTAGAATCATGTTGACTAAGGATTTCTTGATAGAGTCTTGGAAAAGAAAGGTTTTAGTTTCAAATGGAGATTTTGGATGTGGAATTGCCTCCAGTCGGTCAATTTTTCTATCCTTTATCCTCGTTAATGGGAGACCCAAGGGAAAGATTCAAGCGACAAGAGGGCTGAGACAAGGAGACCTCTCTCCCCTTTCCTTTTTATCCTTGTGGTGGATATTTTGAGCATCCTGATTTCTTCATGCGTGGATAAGGGGATTTTAGAAGGATTTGTGGTGGGAAGAGATCAGATTAGTCTTTCCCATCTTCAGTTTGCTAACGACACGATTCTCTTTTGCTTAAGGAAGGAAACCTCTTTTAGGAACTTGATCAGTCTGGTGTCTTTTTTCAAGGCGTTATCAGGGCTTAAGATTAACCCAGGAAAAAGTTCGCTTTTGGGTATTAACTGTGATCCCTCTTTGCTTTTGCGTTGGGCTTCTGCGGTTGGTTGTTCTGTGTGTACTTTCCCAACTTCTTATTTGGGCCTTCCTCTGGCGCATAATCCTAAGATCCTATCTTTCTGGACCCCCAGTGCTAGAGAAGGTTTAGAAGCGTTTGTCATTATGGAAGAAAAGCTTTTTTTCGAAAGGAGGGAGATTAACTCTCATTCAAGTGGGATTCCGACGTACTATTTCTCTCTTTTTAAAGCTCCTGTGGCGGTTTGTAAGAATTTGGAAAAAATCATGAGATTTTTTGTGGAGGTAGTGGACGAGGGGGATGGGGCTCGTGTAGTTAATTGGGAGATAGTTGTCAAGCCGACTGAGGCTGGAGGTTTGGGTATTGGGAACTTGAGGCAAAGAGATGATGCGCTTCTGGATAAATGGTTATGGCGTTTCTTCCATGAACCTAATGCTTTGTGGCGGAGGGTCATCGTGAGTAAGTACGGTCCTCATCCCTTCGATTGGGTGGCTGGCGAATGGCTTAAGGCTAGTGCGAATAACTCTTGGAAGGCTATTTCCTCAGGTTTTCCTTTTTTCTCTCAATTCCTAACCTGTATAGTGGGGGATGGTCATGATACCAGTATTTTTGAGGCGCAAGGCACACCGCAAAGCGACAAGCCTTTTGATCGCCTTGAGGCGAGAGGCGATACAAAGGCGACATCCGATTGAAGCGAGGCTCACCTTAATAAATAAGTAAATATTATATATATCGTGCATAAATTACCTTAAAAAAATTAATATCAAAATAGTAAATGTCAACAAGATACATAAAACAACCAAATTCTATAAGTTTAGTTCCAAATAAAGACAAGCAACGGCGGAGATTGATGGTGGTGAGGCTTGAAGCCCGTGAAGGTGAATGTCTAGAGGGAGGAGAGGTAGAGATAGGGTTTGGGTCACTCAGGGGAGGGTGTTCTAAAAAAAACACAAAAAATTAAAAATAAATAAATAAATAAGGCAGATCTCCCCCTTGAAGGAGGCAAGGTTGCCTTGTCGCGCCCAAAGGCAAGCGCCCGATTGAAGGCGCTCAACTGGGCACCTTGCGGGGCGCACCTAGGCGAAAAAGCCTCACCTCTCGCCTGAGGTGAGCGCCCGAGTGCGCCTCGAAAACACTGCATGATACCTATTTTTGGGAAGACACTTGGGTGGGAGAAAAGCCTCTTTGTTCTTTGTTTCGTTGCATTTTTCATTTGTCAGACTGAAGGTTACACTCGGTGGCCTCGGTGTTGGGGAATGAGGGGGATGGGTTGTCTTTATCCCTGGGCTTCTCTCGGTCTTTAACTGATAGGGAGATTCGAGAAGTTTCTAAGTTGAGCCACATGCTCTCTGAAGTATCTCTCTCTTGCGATAGGAAGGACTTCCGTGCTTGGTCCCCTAACCCGTCCAGGGGCTTCTCTTCTAGTTCCTTCTTTAAACTCTTATGTTCCCCTGCTTCTCCCCCTGCGGCCCCTGTGTTTACTCACGGTGGAAAATGAAGATCCCGAAGAATATTAAAATTTTCATATGGCAGGTCTTACTTGGGAAGGTCAACACCATGGATCGTATTCAAAAGCGCTCTTCTTCTTACTTGAGACCGCATTGGTGCGTTCTTTGTAAGCGGTAAGCGGGATTCCAAGGACCTTGATCATATTTTATGGCACTGCCAGTTTTCCCAGAAGATGTGGGGCCAGTTCTGTGAGATATTTGGAATTTCTTGGGCACGTCATAGGGAGTGGGTGTCGATGGTGGAGGAAGTGTTGTTGTATTCCCCCTTCTGCGAGAAAGGGAGATTCCTTTGGGGGGATGGGTTCTTTGGGATTTTGTGGAGAATTTGGGGGAAAAGAAACGTTAGAATCTTTAGGGGAGTGGAAAGAGAGTGGGAGTTTGTTTGGGACCACATAAGGTTTAATGTCTCTTTATGGGGTCAGTTTCGAATTTGTTCTGTAATTATCAGTTAGGTCATATTTTTTTGGATTGGAAGCCCTTTCTCTAGGTTGGCTTCTTTTATCGGGGTTGTGTTTTTTTATGCCCTTGTATTTCTATTTTGTTTTCATTTTTCTTAATGAAAAGTTCGGTTTCTTATAAAAAAAATATATATATATATGTATATACATTTTTTTTTAATGAAAATCAAAGCTTTCATTGAGAAAAATGAAAGAATAGAAAAGGGCATACAAAAAACCAGCTCAGTAAGAGGAGGCCAAACTAAAACAACAGGCTCCAATCACAAGATCAAACCTAAGGAAAAATTAGGAAAAAAAAGACTTTGGACACCACAGGCCCAAAGGGAGACGTGAATACTTTTTATTTCCACAAACCCAAAAGCAATGATATCCCAAAACATAAAGGACTACTAAAACAGTAAGAAAAAATCCAGCAAACATCCAATTTCGTACTGGAAAGTGTATTCAACAAACTCGGGCCACCCACCATACTCCATAATTTGGAACAAAAATAATTAATTCAATATGGAGGAAGCAAATTACACATGCTTTTAAACAAAATCAACAACACAGCAATAAAGGTCTACTTACCATATTTCTCAATACTGTCAAAAAGTTTCAGTATATCATTCTTTACAGTTCCAATCTGCAAAAATAAATAAATAAAGATTGGTAGGCTAAAATACCTACATTAACTGACAATAAGCAGTGGAATTAGAATGAGAACATGATAATATAAACAAATTACAGTAGCAAAATTTATAACTGTAACAGCCAAACAGAAGTACCAAACGTGTTGATGTTAAGACTTTGTGGTAGGAAAGGAATTAGCTTTCTTCAAATGTATTCCAAAACCACTTCGATTCGCCACAGAGCACAATTGAAGACTCGGTCAAAATACAAAATTAAGACTGTCAAAAGAGATACTAAAAACTGGGAGGATCCAGCATCTTCTCAATGCTTTCCAAGTTGCTTAAATTTAAAATTTATGGAAATTAGGTACTTATCATAATTTTTGGTAATAGACAACAAACTGGCCACATTTTTTATAAGAAACAATCTCATTGATAATATAAAATTACAATCGAGGGGGAGAGAAAAACTATACCCCCAAAAAAGGATTTTTTCTTTTTTCTTTTTTTTTTGTAAGAAACAATTTCATTGATGGATTAAATTACAAAAGTGGGGAAATAGTCCCCAGAAAAATATTACAAAAGTAATTGTCAACTAGTACATAGCACAAACTATAATTACACAGAAGTCCAAGCTTGCACCAAGAAGCAGCCACCAAAAAAATCTTAAACCTATAAAAAGGAGGGGGGCGTATCTTACTCCCAACGATAAAAATCCAATTGTTTCTTTTATTCCAAAAAGTCTATACGAAGCTCTCATGATCACCCGAGGAGTTTTCACTGTCCTTAAAAGAGTGGCCACCAAGGAAGAATGGAGAAGGCTTCTGGTATCTCTACAAATTGGCCGGCCATCCATTCAAAGGAGTTGATTAGGTGCAGCCGAAACTGGTAAACTGTAGTGTAGTTAACGAAAAGGTGGCTTTGTGAGTCATTGCGCTATTTGCACTTGACCAGTAGCTTGGAGAGAGAAATATTGGTGTTTTTCCTTTTTTCCCAAAAAACCAATCTTTCACTGGGGGGAAAAAATGAAAGAATACAAAAGGCCCAAACGGGGGCCAGCAAACCAGCCAACAAAAAAAATGGCATGCATAAAGGGCAGGCCAAAAGGAGCCAAACAAGAATTAACATAATGTGGTAAGAAAGGGCTCCAATCCAAAAAGATGACACCTAACAAATAATTATGAAAATCTTTAGAAACAGGCATGACGGCCGAAGCAAGGCATTAAATCTAGCTAAGGACCAGACCTCCTTCCAATATCTCTCCATGCCCCTAAAGAATATGATTTCTCTCGATTTAGATGTCCTCAAAAACCACAAAAAAGCCAGCCCTCCCGAGAACACTACCCCTCTTCTCTCTAAAGGGAGGATGAAGCATAACCTCCTCCATTATAAGACAACAATCCATGTTACAGGTCTTACAAACCCCAAAGGCCTCGAACAAGGTGGTCCCAAATCAAACAAGCAAACCGACAACTCCAAAGTAAATGGCCTAAATCTTCAAACGTCTTCCTACCAAGAATGTACCACTAAAAAGGAAAAGTGCCGCTAAATTCGATCCATAGCATTAAAACCCCATGTAAAACCTACCAAGCAAAGAATTTAACCATCCATATTGGTGTTTTCCTTTGAATTTCGTCATCTACATTAATGCTTCCTAAAAGCAGGTTCCAAATGAGCTTCGGTCCAACTCCACTCTCTCCCTTTCTGGCTTAGCCTACCATATCTTAAAACTCCAAAACCAGGGTTCTAAAAATCTCTTCCTCGAGATACCCACTTGCATAAATTTGGACAATGTTGTATGCTTTTTCAAATATCGGGATAGGGATTTAACAAATAAGGTCCTGTTTGGTTGGCAATCCATATTCTATTTCTTATTTTCAGATTCAGTGAATATGCATTTGGCAGCGTTTGACAGATTTTTTTTTTAAACTGTTTTCAGATTCTATGATTCTAAGAATGAAAATTCTAAAAATAACATTTTTATGTTTTCAGTGTTTTCAGATTTTGAATTTGAAACTTTAAAATGAAAAATTACACTAAAAAATATAAAAAATTTGATAAATATACTGGGTATAAACTCATTTCATTTTTGTTAAAATTAAAACATGTAAAATATAATATTGTAAAATAATGATTATCAAAATTTATAACAAAAATGTTAATAAATTAATTAATATTCTTTGGATTGAACTAAATAATTAGTTAGTAACTACTACTAGTTACAAATAAATTGCAAATAAACGTTGAACAATTTTTTAAATTGAGATTCAATTTTCAAATTTGCTACCAAACACATATCTGGAAACAAATAATACAACCTGTTTTTCATTGAATCCCTTTGTTTTCAGATTTCTGTTTTTTGATCACCAACCAAACGCACCCTAAATTACCAGAATAATCACAAGTCTGCTTCCATCTATCATTGAGGAGGTTGAAAGCAAAATTGGTGAGAAAATATTCAATCTTAAATCTCCAAATCAATGAGTTTTATTCGAAAGTTAAGGTCTTCAAGAAGCTCTTGGGGATCCACAAACTTAAATAATGAAGAGATTTTTACTACTAGAGATGGTATGAAGTCCAGCGAAGGTAATTGAGAGAGAATCATTCCCCTTTCATCCATCCTCCCAAACTTAAGGTCTAGATTTGTCCTCACAACGAAACCTCTATAGAACTAGATCAACAGAATAAGCTTTGTCAAATGGTCCGGAATCTCAATTGAGATCAAAATACCCTCAATTGAGGTCTAATAATGCCTATAATCACACAAGTTGCCACACTAATAAAAAAAGTAGAGAAGTTTCACACAATAAAGGAATGTAAACTTGACACTTAACAAAAATATGAGAACAAATCAAAATACCGTATTTTGATCAATATCAGAGGATGCTAACGATACAACACCAGCAAGAGCTTCAAGTGCCAACCCTATAGAGAATCGAAACTATATAATGTAAGCTGCCAGGTTTATGCAATCTAGACAAAGAAAAACAAATATGTTCATAAAGTCAATAGAAAACACCAAGCTCCTATAGAGTGCTAACTTATCACGTGAAGAATGATAGCCTAGCATCGTATTGAAATAATGTGAACTCCTTCATAACCCAAGTTCCTTAAATCAAACCTCATTTTCAAAAACTTTTCATGGTTATTAAATCTTTTTTCAGCAATAAACAAGAGGTTCCAATGAGAGAGAGAAAGAAAGAGAGAGAGATTCCAAAAAAATTTCCAAGTTGGATAGGACATACAACTTTAAAATATGAACCTACATAAAAAGATGAGAAATGCAGGCATGCCTCCCAAAACAAATCACATTAAGGTAATCAACAAACAGGCCTCCCACTTGTTAAACAATCAAGAAAAAATAAATCTTTGTTGTTTCTTGATTCATTTGTGTTTGAAGCTTATAAAGAAGTTTAAGAATGAACTCCATGGGACAGAGTTATCACTTACTACTTTTCTCATCATTGAAATCTGTCATTCCTTTGCAACCATACTTCATATAGGATTTCCAACAGGACTCCAGTCACACAGGAAACTACCCTTTTATTTCTAGAATGACTATTTATTTTAAGCTACTTTAAGTTATAATTACAACTAAGATGACAAGCACATTTATTGAATCTATATTTATGGTTCTGTCTTTTGCATCAATTCGGACATGTAATATTTGTCATTCTTGAACAAAAAGGAATGATAACATATGGTGAGAAACCTAAGAAACTTCTTTGAAGCGATGAAGGGTGACTTTATCATTTTTTACAATCATATACAAACAACACCGTCAAAAGAAAACATTTTAACCAAAAATATGTGGAATTATGTATGAATTTAGTACCAGCAGCATAGGTACTAGATTCAGGATTATTAGAACTGTAGCGCCACCTTCCATCGCTTTGGCTCAATGCCTGCAAATTATGCACGAAGTAGACCCCAAGTATAAATAATATGGATATTTATCACTAATAATCATTAATGTTAAAGTAGAAAAAAATGTGACCATCACCAGGTAGAATATCAACAATTGATTTCTCAATACCGTGCACATTCTAATATATTGCAATCTGATCTACAGAGCTTGATGCAGTTTTAATTGATATGTAAGCCCCAAATGGAAACTAGACCCTAGGATTTTTCTGTTCCTAGACAAAAATATATATATTAAATACTGAATAAACTAACTCAGAGCCTTTTTGTGGATCACTTGGCAATCGAGAAACCAAAGCTTATTCAAAGGAAAGGACCAATCCTTTGACCGTTTTTTTAATCTATATCTTTTCTGGCTATATCTTGGTATAAATGTTACCCCTCTTTTCATCTTTATAGCTTTTCTACCTTGATGTCCAGTTGGAATAGCTTTTTGTAATCCCCTGTATTGGGACCACTTCCTTGAAATTTCATATCATCAATGCAATTGCTTCTTTCAACCAAAAAAAAAATACTGAATAAACTAACCTTGATTGAATGGAAAATACCATCAGCGTCTTTAAGTGTTAGATCAACTTCAGAACTTCGTTCCTGCAAGTAATAAAAGGAACTTATTCAAAAGAACAAAATGGGAGGATAGATTCTTCTAAAAATTTGCATGTCTCCTCATCAGACCATTCACCAGATAAATGAGAATAGAGAAAAAAAATATTTGTAAGCAATTTACATTTGAATTTTGAATCACCAAAAATAAGATAGGAAACGAATTAAATTGTCATCTATGTGGCGTAAAGGTGGAGTCTGGACTATGCATAGCAATTTACCTTTAGAAGTAATAAACTTCCTATAGAATAGTAGAAGTCAAGCAGTGACCGCGCATCATTCAGAACTGATCTAAGTCTTGAAGTAACGCTCTTCACAAAATGAAAAAAAAAAATCATTAATAACAAGTCATAAACATGCATCACAATAAATCACATAGGGGCTGTTTGGAAGTAGTGTTGAAGAAAGAAATAGTATTTTCTTTATTGGAAAAAGATATATATCCCACAGGATAGTTTTTAAAACAAAAAAATCGCAGAAAACGGTAGTAGTATTTTGTCGTTTTCAGGTATTATATAAAGTGTTCTTCTATGTTAACTTTTCACATATTATCATCCATTGTTGAAGTAAAATTTGACTCCAATCTGTTATATTTTAAATTAATATATTGAAAAAAATAAACCAAATTAAAAGAATAAAAAATGTTTTTATAAATAGTTTTTAAACTTTAAAACAGTTGAAAACGTTTTTAAAAACCAGTTTGCTAAGCAGTTTCCAAAACCAAATTTTTTTAAAATCACAAGCATCCTCTTATAAACTAAGCACCAAGAATCTATGGATACCTCATAAATCTCCTCCTGAATTTCACATTTCAGGTCATTGTTAACTTTCAGAGCATATAACAGATCCTTTAGTACTTCAGATGAACCAAGAACCTCTGACACAGACTTGCAAGTGACCGTATTTATGTCAGGCTTCTCTTTAATTCCAAGAATGTCAAATGTTCTTAGTGCTTCATGTGTCTCTTCCAGACTGAGAAAAAAAAAAATTGGGGAATATTTTTCAAAACTCCATTTTTGTAGAAAAAGAGAGTTCCAATAAGAGATGCCAAGTTCAATGGGAGACCGCACACAACAGTAGCAGCTTAGAAAAGTAAAAAAAAATTAAAACCCAAAACCACCAATTCAAAAGCAATAGTCTTCAAAAACCAAAAACACTTTTGAGGAGTCAATGTAGAATAAGCAAAATAAAAATACACCACAACTAACCAAAAATAGACTTTAAGCATGGTAGCATATTAAATATCTACTTTTTAGTTTTTAATTTAATAATGGTACTTGCCCATGTCAGCATGCGCAACACCTTCATAAATTGCATTACATTATTTTTCCCTTTTTAGGAGGGAAAAAAAAAGAAGGAAAGCTTTTCATTGATGATATGAAAATTTACACATATGAGTAGTTTAAAAGTAAAAAACGATAACCCAAATTACAAAGAAATGCATCATTTTTCTTTTATAAGAAATCAAGCTTTCATTGAGATAAAATGAAAGACTACCGCTATCAAGATTTATAACAAATGGAGGATCATCATAAAAGTGCTTAGACATAGAACTCCATAAAGAACAATAAAATTAAGTCAACTCAAAAACTTCTTCCTCGTCTCACTCTTTACAATTGGGAACGCCATGCTTCCTTTCAAGCGAAAATTCGCACAAAAATCACTATCATGACATTATCATCTAACCCAACAATAGAAACCTTGTAGTAATTCAATAACCTAGGTAAGTGATAATGTCCGAAAACAGCATTTGGTTAGAAATTGAAGGATCTAACAGGAAATCATGTTCGAAACAGCTTTCTATTTTTAAAACTAGAGACGAACCATATTCCAAAGATAATAGCAAGAAAATTACAGGGAGGAAAAAAAAAAAGAAAAGGAAAAATATGGCAGAATTTCCCACCCAATAACTTTTTTTCTGCACAGAAAGTAACTAACCCAAAGAGAAAAAAGGCGCAAACAAAAGTGATAAATGTGTTGACTACCTTCCAAATGCTCCATAAGTAGGCCGGAAGAGCTCCAGAGCTGCATATCGATGCGAATCTGAGATCGGCTGGAAAACGGTCGCAGCTTGGCAGATCGAAACCACAAGAAGTAGTACCAGAAAACCAACTAGGTTTCCGGCCATTGCTGCAAAAGAAACATTAATTATGATCCAATCGCTACCACAGATCAAGCAATTCCTGAAAATGTATTAAGTTAATCCATGCTCAATTGAACAAACAAACAAACGAACGAACGAACAAGAAAAAGGGAAACAGAAATGTGCTTCGTAGAACCCTAGAGTTGCGATCAAGAATCGTACAGAGAGGTTTTGGAAGAGAGAATTTTGAGTGTTGACGAAATGTGGAGTCTGCGGGCGTCGGACTGAGGATCAAGTGCCTCTCCCGAGCAATAAAATGCACTGGTGTGCACGGTCGGTTCGGTTCGACCGAACCATAAACCGATTTTTCTATTGGCCTGTCGACCAACTCGCTTTCGGTTCGAATCAGCCCCAATTCGATTTTTATTTAACCAAATTATGGCATACAGTTTGTTTATTTAGGGTGATTTTGGATCGTTAAATTTGTCTCTATATATATATGTAACTAAAATCATCGAATTTCGCAGGAGTTTATAAATTTTAAGGAAAATTAATTATTTAACATCAAGAGAATAGCCATATTTTATTTTTTAGATCTGTGTGTATCCGACTAGAAAACACATAGAAATTACTAATTTTTAAGGTAGATCCCATCATGTATTTGAACTCATTCCCTCCTAATTAATCACAATCTCTTTGGACCAATGAGTCACTCATGATGGTCAGGAGAAGAGCATGTAGAAGACTTCGATGTCCAATTTATCTTGTATCTGATTCAATTAAAGTTATTTGATTGCTAAAGAAAGAGGGCATTGATCTACGGAGATTTTGTGATTCGTAGCGGAGGCAAACCTTCTGAGGAGAAAGTGGTAGTTTCCATTACCCATATTAGAAGGAAGTTGCTGTCGAGTTGGCAAAGGAGGCAATGAACAGTGGAAGGGATGTGGAATGGAACGATTGTTTTCCTTTTTGGATTAAATATGTAGTTCAAAGTTATTTGTTTACTTTTTGTGTATCAAGTGTTATTTCTTAAAAAAATAGAAATAAAATTAAAAGTCTGTATTAGTAAATTTATTATTTTCTTTGTGACCTAGGTATTAAATATTTGTCAGCATGTCGACATTTCCATGTGTCTGTGTGTTTAACATCAACGTAAATCGACATTTCTATAGTATTGAAAAAAAATCGACAAAATATGAAAAATATCAATAAAATATCACTAATAGACGTAATATTAAGATTAATCATTTTTAACTGGGAAATATTCCTTTGTTAATTAAAACATTTTTGTACAAATTTTTTATTTATATACCTTTTCAAAATATATCTATCGACATTTGACATTTTATCAATATTTTCATTCACATTGACATTTAAGACCTTGGTTAGAACTTGAGATAGGGCTAGAAAATAATAAGACCTAATCCGATTTGATTCGGTTCGGTTCTTAATAGTTGTGGTCCATCATGCTCATAGTTGATTTGATTCACCATTTTAAGAGAGCCATCGTTGATTTTTTTATTACAATACTGCCACTTCCTAAATCAATGGATAGATTTTGTTTGTTTATAAAAGGTTTTTGTTTGTTTATAAAAGGTGTTTGTTTGTTTACAAAATTGCCACCTTCGAATTAAAAAAATGGCACAAAAATATAGTATTGATGCAAGATCGAGCCGAGGTATGGAAGGCGGCCTCGGAGGTCGGCCGGCTACACTTAGATTATTTTCCAGGGTACCTGCAAAGAGGTATCCACTCCAACGCCCAAGTCAGTATTCTAGTCGAGCTCTATAGGTAAAGCATCAGACAGATTTTTCTTACCTGGGCTCATGGATGAATGGTGTATTTATAGCGGTAAATGGAGTAGATGTATGTCCCATCGGTGTATTTCACTGCTCGGACAGGGGCCCATCGAGCGACTGTCAGTCCTTGGCGATGATTGGTCTGTCCCCTGTTCTGGATGATGAGGCTTGGCGGTTTCCTTATTCGCTAAGGTAGTTGAGACCGACTTGTCTGGTCTCGCTGCCTCCAGGTCAACTTTGTGCGGTTAACCCCTAACAGAGGCCCCCTCTCAGATCGAGTGGCGGGCTACCCACCTGAGAGACATGCCAAAGGGAGGCGAGTGGTCTAGGTTTGCTCTTGTCTCCGAGCTGGAGTGGATGACGCAGGCCAATCTCGGGCTCCGACAGGAGCATTAAATGGCCGCCGAAAGATCTCATGCGCGACGCGGCCTTCGAGGAACTCTCAAGCACGCAACCGTCACTCTGTCCATCAATCTACACCGCTTGCTTAGAGACACGTGTACGGCTCAAATTTCGCCCTATTGTGTATATATATGTAAATATATATTTGAGGGTTTCTTCTTCATTTCACATTTTCAAAACTTTTCCAACTCTCGCACCGAAGTTAGTAGCTCGTCCCTTCTTTGTACATTCGTCGTAGTTTAGCGATTTCTGATAGGTGTAGTGGTAGCTCTAGGTCTAGGAAGGCGAGCTCGGAGGAGAGCTTTACGTCGCTGATGGGAGAATACCTCTTGTCACTTCTCCCAACAGTAGGGTGTACGCTGGAGAGGTGGGGCTGGGTGCCGCCTCTAGTGACAGGTCTCCCTCCCATGTCGGTGGGGACGACCTACCCGTATGCATGGAGATCCAACCTTATTTCTCCCCCCCAAAACCCACTGAAAAACCAGTCGACAGCCCCTCCGAGCTGGAGGAGGGGTCTTTAGCTTTCTTTAGGGCGAGATACGAAATTCCCGAGTCCATAGGCCTGAGATTCCCTAGGCGATACGAGACCGTAGAGAACCCCCCGAAGGGCACGTC